GTGTTAACAGTAATCCCTAAAAAAAAAAAAAAAGAGACAGTGCAGCTTTAAACTTTTTATGCTTACTCGTGTGTTCGTGCGCCTGSCTGTTAGCAAAATATCTCTTGAATGACAGAACATATTTTAATGAAACTTGCAGGAAATACTAATTAGATGTCCTTTTACAACGGATTACCTTTTGGAGTCAATCCGAATCAAGATGGCTGCTACAGCTAACTGATCTTATAAAACACACAGATGGCTTTAACTCAGTCAGTTTTACTGTTAATGACCTACAGTTTTGAGTGGAAGTAGCTGAGACTTAACCACAACCTTTTTTCTGAGTACTAAAAGACTGCACAAGATATATATTTTTTTTACTTTAATTAAAAGCAAACACTAACTCAACTCAAATTCAGTCAGTTTTACATGGTGTACATTGATATAAACTTTGGTTTGGTTTTAGCTGAGTGTTATTCACAATATATAATCTGTGTGACAGCTTGAAATATTGCACGAGTCTGTGGATRACATTATTTTAAAGATCAAAATGGATTTAACTTGATCATTTTTCTGCATACTTGGTCTAAAACTCTGGCATGAAAAACAGCAAATAACTAAAACTCCTTACAAGAAATGGTAGGCCTAAATAAAGCAAATGCCTTTCACATGACAAGCATAAAAAACAACAATGCATGCACATGTATTAAAACTAAAAATGAGKAGACTAAATGAATATTTATCACATGAAAGACTAATCGCTGCTGCAACTGATTTCAAATAACGTTTTTTTAAGCAATGCGTTTTMGTCACAGCCTACACACTTAAATTTTTTTTTATTATTAATTCTGGGGAACACCAGTGACAGAAAAATGAGAATACACAGAGTTCTTAATAAAAGTGATCACATTACAAAGAGTTTAACTCCTTGTGGTTTCGTTACCTTTGTTATTAATTAGAAAGTTTCCACTTACCCGTACTTGAGAAACTTACCCGTAAGTAATTGTAGGTGGGAAAAGAAATGCCTGTCAGTGATTATTATTGTAGTGGTCACCTCGAGGTGGAATAAACAGATCCACCTGTCTTTGACCTCGGTCTCAGAAGGCCTCCTGTTCCAGCCATAACATGTTTTCAAAGATACGTTTTTTTAATTAATCAGATAATAAACAGGATAATCTTCTTTTTATTCATAATTGTATCAATGTATACAAAAAGAAAACAAAAATAATGTTATTACAATGTTTTATTGTGCTTTGATGTAAATCACTGCTTGGACTTTAACTGTGAAACTACAGTAATTGATTATAGATATTTAAGTTTAAATATTTTACTTAACTAAAATTTGTATTATGAAACATTTTATAGTTATTTTTGTCTGAATCGTCATAATGAATGTTTTTAAATGAAATTATTAATTTTTAAGTTTTCAGTAAATCATTCTTTGTGTTCTTTAAAGTGCTGTCAGCAGAGAGCAGGTCAGAACAGACTGTGCAGATGTCAACAATTTTATTTAAGTAAAACAACACCTGGCAGTCCTTCAATAACAATTCCCATCTTTTTAAACTAACGTCTCTGAACTAACAGTCAGTCAGCTGAGTTGGAAAGCGAACACACTCGTGCTTCACGAGGACGCAGCTGGCCCTCCGAGGAGGAGAACCAGCATTTTGCTGAGGTTTAGTCCATTGAGTCAAAGCCTCTCAGCCTGGACAGACCATCACTTGGTCTCGTCTATTATTTTGAGCTTACCAAATTTCACAGAGAAACTTTTGTTTTGAAACTTCCATGGTGGAAGTTTTCTATTTTTGAGAAGGATACAGAGAAGCGCCTCGTCTCTAGTCTTCGATTGAAAGCGGCCCAGAAGACGCTGAAGGAGTAATGTAAACACACCTCGAAAGTGTCTGACTGGATGAGGTTCCGAGAAGTTCTTCACCAATTGGACGATCTTTCCCCAGACTTGAGCCGTGGTGGGTGACAMTATCCCCAGTCAAGATAATGGCTGTTTGTTGCTGAGCGTAGCAATCTGAGGTCTGGCTGGATCCGTTGAGAGACTTCTGCCCTTTCTGGTTAATATCCACATTCTTTAAAGGATAAAGTTAAAACTAACTAATCCTCTTCCTCCACCTTTCTTTCCTCTTAAACCTGCCTTGCCAAAACTTAAGAAAAAGTGCTGCAAACAAATGGTTTATTAACATCTAAACCTAAAAGTTTGCTGTTAAAATTTTTATAGGAAATTAATCTCACAGTAAGCTGTACATTCGTGATTTTGTTTTGATTCGGTAAATAAATGATCTCGTTTATTTTAGATCAACTTAAATTCACTGAGTACGCTCAGTTTTTTAGCCCTACATTAATGTAGAGAAATATGAGCTTCTGTTAAAAGTGTAGCTCAGGTTAAGTTACTTTTTATGTTTGTGAGCGGTTGTGAACATGCGTGTAAACAGCGGGTAAAATAAGTATTGAACATGTCAACATTTTTCTCAGTAAATATATTACTAGAGGTGCTAATGACATGAAATTTTCACCAGATGTTGGTAACAACCCAAGTGATCCATACWTACAAAGAAATCAAACCATAAATGTCCAGAAATGAAGTTATTTGTAATAATGTGGAATGGCACAGGGAAAAAGTATTGAACACACTTACTGAAATTTATCTAATACTTTGTACAAAAGCCCTTGTTGTCAATGACAGCTTCAAGACGCCTCCTGTATGGAGAAACTAGTGGCATGCATTGCTCAGGTGTGATTTTGGCCCATTCTTCCACAAACAGTCTTCAAATCTTGAAGGTTTCGTGGACCTCTTCTATGAACTCTGATCTTTAGTTCTTTCCATAGATTTTCTGTTGGATTCAGGTCAGGTGATTGGCTGGGCCATTCCAGCAGCTTTAGTTTCTTTCTCTGAAACCAACTGAGAGTTTCCTTGACTTTGTGTTTGGGCTCATTGTCTTGCTGAAATGTCCAGCCACGTTTCATCTTCATCATCCTGGTAGATGGAAGCAGATTTTTATCAAGAATGTCTCTGTACATTTTTCCACTCATTCTTCCTTCAATTATTTGAAGTTTGCCAGTACCATATGCTGAAAAACAGCCCCACACCATGATGTTCCCACCTCCAAACTTCACTGTTGGTATGGTGTTTTTGGGCTGGTGTGCAGTGCCATTTGACCTCCAAACATGATGTGTATTCTGGCATCCAAACAGTTCAATGTTGGTCTCATCTGACCAGACTATATTCTCCCAGTATTACACAGGCTGGTTTAAATGTTGTGCAGCAAACTTTAAAGGAGCTTCAACATGCTGTTTCTTCAGCAGTGGAGTCTTGCGTGGTGAGCGTGCATACAGGCCATGGTGGTTCAGTGCATTACTTATTGTTTTCTTTGAAACAAACGTACCTGCTAATTCCAGGTCTTTCTGAAGCTCTCCACAAGTGGTCCTTGGCTCTTGGACAACTCTTCTGGTAATTCTTTTCACTCCTATGTCAGAAATCTTGCGAGGAGCACCTGGTCGTTGGTTTATGGTGAAATGATGTTCTTTCCACTTCTGAATTATGGCCCCAACAGTGCTCACTGGAACCTTCAGAAGTTTAGACATTCTTCTGTAACCGATGCCATCATTATGCTTTTGCAACAATAAGGCTGTGAAGGTCTTGAGAGAGCTCTTTACTTTTACCCATCATCAGATGGTTCTTGTGTGATACCTGGCCATCATTTGGAACTGAACCAGCTGATATTAATTTGCACTGACAAGGGGCAGGCTTGCTTTCTAATTACTGAGAGAGTTCAGCTGGTGTCTTGGCTTTCCATGCCTTTTTACACCTCCTTTCTTCATGTGTTCAATACTTTTTCCCTGTGCCATTCCACATTATTACAAATAACTTCAGTTCTGGATATTTATGGTTTGATTTCTTTGTATGTATGGATCACTTGGGTTGTTACTGACATCTGGTGAAAATTTCATGTCATTAGCACCTCTAGTAATATATTTACTGAGAAAAATGTTGACGTGTTCAATACTTATTTTACCCGCTGTATACAAGATTTCTCCAATGGAATATTTAATAGTGACTGTGGAGGACCGGAGACCCAAACCCCAAGACACGAGGCAGACATAGGGAAGACCAGAGCCCAAGGGCCCGAGAGRGATCCCGAGCGCAGATCCCCAAGGGGCACCCGCACGGGAAGATCAGCCCACCCACCCATCAGACCATAGGGGAGAACTGGGAGAGTCCCCCCAGCGACCACACGCATAGCCCCCGGGGCCAGCAGCGACAAACTCCAAATAATTTTAAAAAATCTGTATTGTTCGATACAAGTGTGTATTGAATCTAAAGCAGTATATTGAATGGTTCGCTATGGGTACATGTATTGTTGCACCCCAGTATATGTATCTATGCAAATGTATATATTCATACATATTATGAGAGAGTGTAAGTAATCTATTATACACTTCTTTAAGAATGATTTTTTTAGCAACCATGTGAACAGTTCTTGGGTCAGTTTCCTCATGTATTTTCTTCTTGTTAAGACAAGGTTTAAGGTGTATTCATAAGGTTTTAAAATTTTTTTATCAAAACCTTTCTCTGCTGTTAAGTTTGAACACACCTCAGCATAAAAATCACAGCCTGAGACCTTGGCAAGTTTTATGTGAGCTTAGATTTCCTTGGGTGCCCAGACCTTTTTCATGGCACCTTAGCTGACTCTAAAACTGTACAAAACATAAATGATACATCGATATTTGGGAAAATCTGATAAGATATTACATTTTTAAAGTTTAGCCTTTTGTTCTGCTCTCTTATAGAGTCACAAAACTAAAAGTTTTATCCTAACATGACCATTAGATCATTCAGAAACTCTGATAATAATGAACTGATATGAACTATTTACAGTTAGTTAGGTTGTTAGTTGTAATGTTTTATTAATAGTGCTTGTAATTAATTTGATTTAACATTTTACRTATTAAAAGTGCTTTAAAACATTTAAAACCAAAGTAAGAAAAGTAATGCATGCTCTGTTTTCTCTCAGCTCCGTGTAATTTGGCTGAATTGAAGACAAGCTCCTGTAAATCTGAACCATGAGTGATGAGTGGACACCTCTGGACTGTTTACTACCATCAGGTATACTCTTTCAAACAACACAAATCTCCACATCCTTACAATCTATCATCTGCTCTTTTTGCATAAATGTACCATGTATTTTAGAGTTTTTCTCCTATGAATGTTGAGGTTAGTTAGCTTTTCCAAAACTAAAACTCTAATCATAATTAGCAGGTAATATGGTGGTGGTTATGATTTATTTGCAAAAAGTAATGACATTCTTTCAAAAATCAAATRTCTTTGTTCCCCAACATAGAACAAAATCTGTTTGGAAGACTTTGAATGTTTGAAAATCACAGTCAGGCTGTACTTCGACATAAAACGTATGTTTCGAAGGTTCCTCAGATTTTAAACTGAGTTTGTAATTAAACCTTCAGAGGGTTTAAGACGGAAACCTTCCTGCTGCCCTGCAGGTCTGCTGAGGACGCTGATATCTGCCTTGAACTTCTGTTCTGAGTACAAGGTGTAAGTGAACTCCCTGTTGCTTTGTGTGTGTATGTGTGTTTATATGAGCCTAAGGACAGGTTTTACTTAGACTAAAGGTCAAGAAGATTGTACAAAAACTTCTGCGTGTGGAGCAGAAGGGCACCTGCAGTTTTCTCTGTCTCTTAGATAAAACTTAGAACTGCGTGTGTTGTTTCTGTGTAATGTTTCAGATTTATTTGATAAGGAACTCATTTTTGAGTTAGATAACAAATGTTTCTGCCTCACAAGGTTATACAGTATATTTCAATGAAAGAGATGTCCCTGTTGACTCAACAAAAGGAAAGGAGATTTTTTTATTTTATTTATTTATTTTTGCTCAGGTTAAATGTCGATTTAGACTTTTCACACTGGATAGAAAAAAAAAGACTTTTCACATTGGATAGAAAAAGGTATAAAATACGGAGCTTAAAACTGAAAACTGTTGCATTTAATGGATGTTCACATTGAGTCYGCCTGCTATCTCTCCAGTTTTGTTAGTGGCCAAGAATAAAACTTGTTCATAGTATAGTCTCTGATTTCTGCACAACATGATGAGGGGAAATGGGCAATGTCGACATTAATTACAGTCCTATATGTTTCTCTCTTTCCCTCTGAAAAACTTGCTGTGTTTTTTCCGTCTCTTCGTTTTATGGTGCCATGTTATCAGTTAATGAGTTTTTTTTTCCTTTGGCACCTGAGGAAATAAAGGTGTGATGTGAGAAGAGTGTCGACTTGGTGAGTGTTTGTATATGTTTGTATAACTGACATTCCCACACATGAACATAATTTGTTCAAGCATTAACAGAAATCCTGGGAAATTGGTAACTTCAACAAAGGTCAGAGATGCACTCTTAAAAAGCTGTCAGCAGTTTTGAAGCATCCATTGAATCTTGTGCTTTCTTAAATGTTTTAGCTCTGCTCACAAGACTGAGGTTGAGTCAAAAGATCTCACTGGGTGAATAAATATTCATCTAAATGCGTGGAGAAGAGTAAACCTAAGCGCTCACACACTTGTTGATTTGAGTTTGTTGATAGGTTTGTTATTTGCCACTAAAAGTGAAGAATTTGCTCAAGATCCTCGGCATCACCGAAGTTCCCTCTTCAAAAATCCACAGTGTATTAAAACACACAAGATCAATTTGAAATAAATGGTTTTTATGGGTTGCTCGGTTTTAYCTCTTGCAGGAAGTGCTTATCTAGACTCTCAGAGGGGAGTATAAAAACAGCCCCTAGATGTCTGTATTTTCAGATCCCCTGGTTTGCACAGTTACCCTTTTCTAAGCAGAAACAGAGAACATGTGAACGTTAAAAGTAAATGTTTCTGACTAAATTCTGATGGTATGTTGACATTCACTATTTCATTTCCAGGGTCTGACTTTGCTCTGGACCTGGTGAGAAAACAGTTCACGTWTCGTTTTTGTCCAGGAACATCTCTCTTTAGCAGGGGATGGGCACTCCTCGAGGGCCGCAGTCCTGCATRTTTTACTTGTTTCTCTGCTCCAACACACCTGATTTGAACAAATGGGTGATTATCAGACTTCTGCAGAACTTGGAAGAGGTAATTCAATGATTTAATCAGGTGTGATGGAGCAGGGAAAATGGTGAAACATGCAGGGCTTTGGCCCTCGAGAACCAGGATTGCCCACCCCTGCTCTATAGAATCAGAGGATTATACACACTATAACAACTCTATTACAAAATGCTTTCAATTAGTATTTACTTTGACAAGCTTTAATAAACAATCAGATCTTGTGAAATACTTGTGTCATAATGGAAACAGATATCTCAGTTTGCCATTTTTCATCTGCAAATGGAGTTTTCCACAAGTAAAGGATTGAAGTGACACATTTAGATGTAATTACATAGTTCATCCTTGAAAGAAATCTGGTCTAATATTTTACTACACGTCCATGGTACCGCCTTACTGCAGGGCAGACATAATGGCTGGAAACAGTAGGTTTGTTCTTTAGTCCTGTTTTGAGCCAAAATCTGCATTTTGTAGGTACAGTGGTTTGCAAAAGTATTCATACCCCTTGAACTTTTCCATATTTTGTCACATTACAACCACAAAATAAATATATTTCAGTGGAATTTAATGTGAAAGACCAACACAAAGTGGTATACAATTGTGAAGTGGAAGCAAAATTTTACATGAATCAAAACATTTTTTACAAATAAAAAACTGAWAAGTGCGATGTGCAAAATTATTCAGCCCCCCTGAGTCAATACTTTGTGGAGCCACCTTTTGCTGCAATTACAGCTGCAAGTCTTTTAGGGTATGTCTCCACCAGCTTTGCACATCTAGTGACTGCAATTCTTGCCCATTCCTCCTTGCAAAACAGCTCAAGCTCAGTCAGATTGGATGGAGAGCGTTTGTGAACAGCAGTTTTGAGATCTTGCCACAAATTCTCAATTGGGTTTAGGTCTGGACTTTGACTGGGCCATTCTAACACATGAATATTCTTTTTTTTAAACCACTCCATTGTAGCTTTGGCTTTATGTTTAGGGTCGTTGTCCTGCCGGAAGGTGAACCTCCGCCCCAGTCTCAAATCTTTTGCTGACTCCAACAGGTTTTCTTCCAAGATTGCCCTGTATTTGGCTCCATCCATCTTCCCATCAACTTTGACCAACTTCCCGGTCCCTGCTGAAGAGAAGCACCCCCAGAGCATGATGCTGCCACCACCATATTTGACAGTGGGGATGGTGTTTTCAGAGTGATGTGCAGTGTTCTTTCTCCGCCACACATAGCGTTTTGCATTGTGGCCAAAAAGTTCAATTTTGGTCTCGTCTGACCAAAGCACCTTCTTCCACATGTTTGCTGTGTCCTCAACATGGCTTCTGGCAAACTGCAAACGGGACTTCTTATGGTTTTCTTTTAACAATGGCTTTCTCCTTGCCACTCTTCCATAAAGACCACATTTGTGTAGTGCACGACTAATTGTTGTCCTGTGGACAGTTTCCCCCACCTGAGCTGTGGCTCTCTGCATTTCATCCAGAGTCACCATGGGCCTCTTGGCTGCCTCTCTGATCAGTGATCTCCTTGTTCGGCCTGTAAGTTTAGGTGGACGGCCTTGTCTTGGCAGGTTTACTGTGGTGCCATACTCTTTCCATTTCCGGATGATGGATTGAACAGTGCTCCGTGAGATGTTCAAAGCTTGGGAAATCTTTTTATAACCTAAGCCTGCTTTAAACTTCTCCAAAACCATATTCCTAACCTGTCTGGTGTGTTCTTTGGACTTCATGATGCTGTTTGCTCCCCARTATTCTCTTAACCAACATCTGAGGCCGTCACGGAGCAGCTGTATTTGTACTGAGATTAGATTACACACAGGTGGACCCTTTTGAGTCATTAGCAGTCATCAGGCAACTTCTGAATGCAATTGGTTGCACTCAGGGAAAAGGGGGCTGAATACTTTTGCACGTCGCACTTTTCAGTTTTTTATTTGTAAAAAATGTTTTGATTCATGTAAAATTTTGCTTCCACTTCACAATTGTATACCACTTTGTGTTGGTCTTTCACATTAAATTCCAGTGAAATATATTTATGTTTGTGGTTGTAATGTGACAAAATATGGAAAAGTTCAAGGGGTATGAATACTTTTGCAAAACACTGTACGTAGATGTAATTACATAGTTCATCCTTGAAAGAAAGCTGGTCTAATATTTTACTACACGTCCATGGTATCGCCTTACTGCAGGGCAGACATTATGGCTGGAAACAGTAGGTTTGTTCTTTAGTCCTGTTTTGAGCCAAAATCTGCATTTTGTAGATATATTGCTTTAATTCTCAGCTAGGGATGCACCAATATGAAAATTTTAGCCGATTATTGTTATTGTGTAGTGGTCACCTCAAGTGGAATATAAACAAGAACACTGTCTTTGACCTCATGCTTTGGACGGGCCCTTTAAAGAGACAGAACTCTGTTCCAGTTAAACTGAATCTCACAGCTTCTCTGATTTGACTGAAAGAATGAATCACTGTTATATTGAGCAGAAAGCCTGGTTTTAACTCAAAAAACATTTTATGATGATTACTCAGACAAATAAAAACATTTCTGTTTCTTAATAAACTTAAAACATGTTAATTAGTTTAGTTAAATGAGAAATTTCTTGAAGAAAAATCTATAATCATATTACTGTTGTTTACAGTTCAATAAAAGCAGTGATTTACATCAAAGCACAATAAAACATTGTAACAACACTCTTTTTATGTTCTCTTACACTGTTATAATTCTGAATCACAGTTAGGGACAGGAGTTTGTCCCACTTTCTTCTGTAACTCTGATAAACAGTCTCTGATTATCAAAATGCGTAATAACTCTTAGTTAAGAGAAAAATAAATCAAATAAAAAGAAGATTATTCTGTTTATTATCTGATTAAGAAAAACAGAATGTGTCTTTATAGTTAAGATGGCCTATTATGGTCGAGATCCAGTTTAACCGGAACAGAGTTCTGTCTCTTTAAAGGGCCCGTCCGAGGCCTGAGGCCAAAGACAGTTTTCTTTTTATATTCCACTTGAGGTGACCACTACAATTGCTGTTATGGCCGATAACCAATATTACACAAACACGCAAATTATTTATATACGCACAAAAACACTTGCGTCTTTTTTTTGGTACCGTAAAAACAAAAAATGACCAGACCACTGACATGACTCTATACTTCAGTTATTCCTGGCTGCACAGCAATATCACAATCATGATCATCCAAATACCACTCCATCTCCCCTCCCAAAACAGAAACACAAAGCTAAAAAGTGGGAAATCAATATCGGATGTTTATATTGGCCAGTTTTACTTATGGGGCCGATACAGATATTCTAAAAAAATGACCAACATCAGCTGATACTGATGTTAATGCTAATTTATCATGCATTCCTATTCTCAAACATAGTTGAAGTATATTTTTGCCTATTTTGAGAGCATCTGTATGTTAGCTTATGTTCTTGTGTTTAGTATGTCTGTGCATGCTTGGGCTTCTGGTATTTATGCTTGTTTGGTACTTTTAAAAGAATCCCAAGGTGACATTTCTTTGAAAAGAGTGCAAGAAAGGCCACACATCTCCTCGTGCATGTGTGTTTGTGTATGTGTGCGGCGAGTGAGTGTTTGTGTGACAAAGGGGTTATCCGACAAGTCATGGTTGGTTGACTTTGTCTTTTGTTCTCTGAGCACTTCAGCCAATTAAGAGACAAGATTGACAAATCGTCTCTTCCTCTTTCTCCTCCTGCCCCACCCCTCCCTCCCTCCCGGTGTCCTCCTTGCTTTCTCTTTTGCCTTTATGTCTCCTTTTCTTGTATTCTCTTTCTTTCACCATCCTCAAGTGGGGTTGACTTTTATATCTGAAGTGACCTTCCAGTGATGTGAACTTTATAACCATATGAGGCTCACCTCTGCAACAAAGTCACAAACCCAAAGAATGTTTTATCTTTAACTCTCCAAGTTTTTCAGCCAGGCTAAGATGTGCTCCTCACACCTGAGGGGATAAATCCAAAAAGGAGTGTTTTTTTTTTCTCTGAATGCTTTTTCTATGAGAAGTTCAGGAAAGCTAAATAATGTTTTATATGTATTTTTCCCCCTCTCCTCTTCTATACCAGTAGCAAACAGTTCACTAGAAAACAATCTTTTAAAGATATTCCATATTGTGTAGAAATTTTAAATAAACACAGCTCCAGGAAGAGTAATTGTAATGTGTTGCTTACATTTGGATATGACATTTTAGAGTTTTGTATTGAACTTTAAAAAAAATTGATGAAAACTCTTTCATAAGGGCAGACATGAGAGGGAAAAGATAAATGAATAAGCAATGAAAAGTTTGGAGGCAAAATAAAAAAAGGGAAAAGAGGGTGTGCTTTCATATTTGGTCTCTTTAAGGCTTTTYTAACAGCCCTGCTTTTACGTTGTCAATAAACGCAGGCTTTTCTTTTTATTTCCATTTCCTGCAGATAGATAAATTATGATTCTAAAAGTATTAGCCGGGGGATTCACATTAGCAGCGGAGCAAAAGAAAAGCTAAAAGCAGATTGATGGGGTGGGGGCGGGGGGAATGGATAAATAGGCTTATAAAATGCTGAGCTATGAGATGGAGAATTTGACAAAGAAACAAGGAGGAACACTGACAGGAAAGAGATGAGGATGACACATCCTGGATATACGTTTTTTCATTCTTTGTCAAGTAGTCACAGCCGCAGCGCAACAAGGTCAAGGTATTCAAATAGAAATAGATTAAATTTTTGCATTGGTTTCCCTTTTTCTTTTCTTTTCTTTCTTTTTTTTTGAGAAATTATAAAAACTTGAGTAGTGATTGTGAGTCTGGTCAAGGAGAGTGAAGGTTGTTTAGTGACATTATTGTTTGAGCTTTTTTTAACAATGCCTGAGGTGCTTGAAACCGAACAAACCAGTTGCATSATAATTGGATTAAATTTAGAATTTGGATGAAATTAAATCTGGCTTGGAGGTCTTTTTTAAAAACCCTGTTTGATGTGTTTATGTGGAGAAATATAACCTCAGCATTGCAGATTTCTGTACTTTTCCTGTAATGCCCATGCAGCGCTACAAACTGTTTTTAAAAGGTGTGTGTTGCAAATAATTTGTTCTGTTGTGGCAGCATTTTGCTGTTCGAATCTATCTCATGTGTCTGCAGTTATTTTCTTTTCTTTTTGCTACATCAGGGACACAGAAGATCTGTCTGATCATTCTGAACCAGCCCCTTGATAAGGACCACCTACACATCCTCTGGAGTAAAGGTATGCAACTCACACATCATAAAGATAGATCAGRCGAGAGCTTTTTACCAAGATGTATTACTTGGATCCTTTTGGTTTGCACTGAGCATTTATTTCCCAGAGGTTTTTTTTTTGTGAAACTCTGCTTTCTAGGCTGCATAGCCAACACTTTGGAAAGTACCTGCCTTTTTTATGGCTTTTGGCAATCGGAAGAAAAACAGACTTTAAGGCTACATCAGATTTAAACTAAAAACAGAAATATGCTCAATATTCCTAACAGCTTTAAAATCCACCATTTTTAGGCACCTGTTAAACAGGCGAAATCTAAAATTGCAGACGTGATGTATCTAACCGCTCCGTCTGAAGACAACCCAATCACATCCATATGGTGCTCRTTATAATGGCAAATTGCTGTGAACATGCTTCAGATCAACACTAATTACACAGAATATAATGACTGAGCTGAGTGAAAAGAATGAATGGTGCCAGTTTGCAGACACTACAAGGTTATTCTATTGTTTCTTAAGGAAAAGAAAAACATAGGCAAACAATTGTCCTGAAATTTTATTTCTCATTACTTTTTCTCTAACTGAGTTACTCTCATCATTTCAAACACAAAAAACAATCCTAATGTAAATTCTGTTATAATCATAGCCTTAGATAAAGACTGTTAATTCCATGTTGAGGTAGCTGAACATGTGAATATTGGAGGTGAATAAGTCATTAACAGAAGAATACAGGCCTCAGTAAAGCACCACGTTAGCGACTTAGCAGCTTTTTTTTCTGTGACGTGTCTCCAGTGATCTAGGATTCCACTTTTGTTTTGCGTATTTATCTTAAAAACTACAACTAAACTAGCCTGGTAAAAACCAGACCCTTGTCCTTCACTTTGCTTCATACGAGGGTCTGGACTCTCGGCTATAGAGAAG